ATTGGTGTTCATAATGGCCCCAGGGTTTACCTGCAGAGAGGCGAGGTCTCTTAAGGCCCCATCTGGAATGTCTGGAATCTCATTACCATGAATCATAAGCAACTCCAACTTGGTAAGTCCCGCAAATGAGGTTTGTGACAGAGCCTGTATGCTATTAAACCTAAGGAAAAAAACAAAGAAATAATAATCATCACAGTAAGAAACTGCAAGTCCTTAAATCCCATATGGGGAAGATTAGCCGGCCGGCCCCAGGGCATATTAATATTCTGGTTGTTCTGAGGTCACGTGGATGCCATTTGCAAACCACGGTGCATGCCTTGGAGTCCTCCTCGGGTCTCTCTGGAATCAAAAGAAACTCATGCATATTCATTCATGAAATGTTCATTCAGCTGAGGAATATTCTCCGAGAATTTTGACTTGGACTGTGCCAACGTCCATTCCGAATTCTGAATGACGTTGTTATGTGAGAATGCTTACTAGAAATTCTGCTCTGAAGTAGCAATAAAGATGAGTGATATGTGGGCAACAGGACCAGAAAAAATCTCAGCATTATTTTGCATAGAATAAGAAAGAAAAAAATTGCAAGCTAAGGGGCTAAATTAAAACACCAACCAACACACTTTATTTCACCATGAGTTGCCACGTGTCGGATGGACCATCTCAAGGGTTATTCGTAAACATTCTGGGTTGGGTTTTTCTGTTTCAGTTTTTCCTGTTGTGGAGACAGTGGTCCAGATGTTTTCTGGACCAGTTTAGCCATTTGTCATTGCTGTGTGGCTAATGACGCACCACAAGCCTCAGATTTGATCCCAGGAGATGCATAGAGAATGGTGCATATTACATCAGCATTTCTACTGAGATGTGGTGCCTGCTGCCTGATGTGATCGATCACTCCCCCTGGCCATCTAAATAAAAGGAAATCGACCTGTACACGATGCTGGTGACTAGTCCGTCACTGAATCCACATTTGTCATCAACTCACATGTGCATACACCTGGCGTCCAATGTCACAGTTGTTAGGGACGCCCACCTGGGTATTAACTCCCCTCAGATCCAGGCTTGGGAAGCGCCTCTCGGCCACAAAGTCTCTAGTGCTGGAATTTATCATTTCCATCACCAAAACCACTGCCCTGCATTGCTTCAAACCCTTCAAAGACCCACTTTACCCACTGCATGGAGATACATAAGACCAACTTACGCAAAGAAAACATGAGAGCGCATTTCGTATGCCCCGCCTTATAAGGACAATATCATATGGATTCAAAATGGTATCTGAGATAGGGTTACAACAAAAGATGATCCTACTTCCTATTACTCATTTTGACTCATGGAATCATTAAACAATTATCTAGAGAGCTTCTCTCTTCTATATAACAGGGCACTCTTCACATAGCCTTGTTAATGAAGTGCGTTATCAGCTGAGCCCTGCCGTATTTAACAGCAGTGAACAGGAAAAATACTCAAAGTTCTGGGCACAGAGCTAACTGTATGCCTGGCTTGCATTTCTGCAGGAGGGGGCAGGCTTCTCTGCAAATGAACACTGCTGTCTGCAAACGCGTTTTTAAACTTTCACTTAAATCCCAAGAGGCAGGAGTGCACCCTCAATTTTCGACAGCATAAAAAACAAGATTCAGAAAGTTGCCAAGTATTTCGAGACTCAGAAACTTGCCAAATATTTCAAGGTCACATTGCAGATCAGCAGTGGACAGCGGGTTGAAGCAGGACCTGTCTGATTCTAAGATTCGTGTTATTCCCTTTCCATAGTGCTATTTTGGTTTCGTGAAATCGAGATGGGGGCTGGAAAACTCTGCAAAGAAGCACGACCACCATCACATCCCGATTACGGAGAAGTCGGGAAAGATGCCGATTTAGAATGGCATCTGGGTAAGACCTCAAGTGTCTTGAAGCCACAGCTTTCACAGTTATATACCGTTAACCAAGGCAGAAGAGATAAATTCTTGGCACTGTATTTTACTTCAAATGAATCGAATTGCCCTGCAAAACTCCCCAAAGGATGATGCTGGAAATACTCAAGGCCATGAGGGTTGTTTGATGAAGCTAAGGATAGTGGCGACCTTAGGTGGGTAAAAAATCTGAGTAAGAGAAGCCAGAGGGACAAGCGTACACCAACATGACCTCTGCGCCATTCTCCTGGCTACCCCAGACAAGTTACTTAACCTTTCTGGAAGCTCAGCTCCCTCATTAGTGATGCTACTGATAATTCCTTCTGCAAAGGACCATGAGTTGGACGACATAATATCTACAGCCCCACGGATGTCATCTTGCGTCAAGGATTTCCGCAGAGTTTCTGGAGGGAATTTTATCAAAGACAAGGCAACCAGCAGAGAGACGGGGTGGGGGGGTCGGGTGGGGGGAGGGACGTACACCAAAATGAAACGTGAAAAGAAAAATGACAAGCACAGGCAATAAAAAAATAAAATAAAATAAAACAGCAAGTGAAATGTGTGTCCTGCAGGGGCAGAAGATAAGAAGGATATTCTGTGAGTAAAGGTGTTCTGTACTCAAATAGTTGAAAGTTCATCCGCGGTAACAAAAATGACATAATAAAAGCAATAGGTCCACTCAATGAGTCATCGCAGAAATACAGAAAAGACCAGACACACTGCATAGCACGCCATGCATTTCAGCGTAGAGCAGTAAGGAAGACTGGAATACTTTTTATCTACCATTCCTCCTTTCTCTGAGCCGTTCACACTTGTGCGGGTGTGCGTGCGGTAACCCTGGTCACAGGCATCCTATTGTGCACGTGTGAACGGCGAGGGGAAAGGAGTTCACACATCACTAGCGCCAGCCCCACCAACAAGGTCGGCTCCCCCCCATCAGGTTCCAGAAGAAGATGACTTAACTGCATTTGAATAAATGTAGATTGTTGTATTATACTTAATAAAAATAAGACATCCCCTGAAAATAAGCCCTAGTGTGTCTTCTTGGGAATAAAATAAATATAGGACAGTGTCTTATTTGGGGGGAAACCCGGTATCACGTATCCATATAGGTACCTATCATCAAACTATCTCCTGTTATCTAGTCATGTGTTTATCAGGCATTTATCTATTATCTATATATGTATCCATCACCTACTATTATCTGTAAATATATATATATATAAATATGTATAAATATATATAATCTATCATCTATTTATTTATCTTCTAGCAATCTATCATCTAGACATCTCTATATCTATCATCTAATCTGTCATCTATTTATCTAATTATATGCTGTCTATTACCTATCCATTTATATACCTCTCATCTATCTCTGATCTATTTATCTATGTCTATCAAAACCTATCATCTCTTCATCTATTTTATATCCTTGTATCATGTCTATATATGCATCTACCATCCAACTATCATCTGTCCATCATCTATTTATGTATTTTTTATCAATCTATCAATTATTTGGCCATATATGTATAAGTGTCTATGTATCATCTGTCTCTTTAGTACCTGTCTAGTACATCTATCTCCTAGGAATGTATGTTTCAACTATCACCTATCTAGACATGTATCTATCATCATCTATTTATCTGTTTATCATCTATCTATCATCTGTCTACCATCTATCAGTCATCTATTTATGTACCTTCTATCAATCTATCAATCATGTATATATGTATATGTATCTATCATCTATCAAGTAATTATCATCTTTCTATCTCCTATCAATTTATTTTCTATCTATCACCTATCTAGATATGTATGTATTATCTATGTGTCATTGATTTATTTATCTATCATCCATCTATCTATATAGGTACCATCCATTATCTATCTGTTATCATCTATGAATCATCTATTCATGTATCTATCAGTCTATCAATTTGTATATATGTATATGTATCTATCATCCTACTATCAAGTAATTGTCATCCTTCTATCTCCTATCAATCTATCTTTTATCTATCACCTATCTAGATATGTATGTATCATCTATGTGTCATCAATTATCTATCATCTATCTATCTATGGATCTATCTTTCTACCATCCATTTATCTATCATCTATCTGTCTATCATCTATGAATCATCTATTTATGCATCTATCGGTCTATCAATTGTGTATATATGTATATGTATCTGTCATCTGTCTGTCAAGTATCTATGTATCATCTATCTATCTATCTCCTATCAATTTACCTTTTATCTATCACCTATCTAGATATGTATCTATTCATATCATGTATCTATCTATGCATCTCACCTATCTATCTATCCATCTTATCTATCTATCTATAGTCTATCTATGTATCTATCTATCCATCCAGTCTATCATCTACCTATTCTATCTACCTATTCTTTCTATCTATCTATCTATCTATCTATCTATTGTCCTACCTATCATCTATCTTTCTATGTATGTACTATTCATCTATCTATTGTCTATATCTGTCCATCATCTATCACCCATCCATCTACAATGGTAATTCTCAACCAGGAGTGAGTTTTCTCCATGGACATTTTTCATAATTGCCATTCTGGAGGAGGCAACCACAGTGGTCAGAGGGCATGGACACCACTCACCACCCTACCGTGCACAGGACAGCCCCACAGTACGAAGGGTTATCCAACAAGGAACACTGCCCCAAATGCCAATTGTGCCGAGGAGGATGCACCCTGGTCTAAACCAAGGTACCAGTGGGTTGATGCACTTACTCAGCCATTTATCATTATTTGGGATTCTGCCTCAAGATGTGTCAGGAGTGGTGAACACACCACAGAGAGCAGCTACCAGAATCCAGAGGTTCTCCCATTTCCTGGATCCCAAGGCTTGTCTAGACAGGGCCAGCTAGTGGGAGCATGGTTCCAGTTGTGCTTAGAGGAAAAGCCAACAGGTATTGCTGGGCCAGGGAATGAAGAATGATGAAAAAACTGGAGAGAAAATTTCTGCTTAGACAGGAGTGACTGGGAGAGGGGGAAGACTGAGAGAGACAGGTGTGCGAGAAACCAGGCAAAGCCTCACAGTGTGGAGAGTTCTGTAAAAACCCAAGGTCACAGCAGAATGTGCATTGAGGAGACACGGGCTGACCAACAAATATGGTCGAGCCCTGAGAATAGGAGTGACCACCTGCCCAAAGGCAGCCAGCAGGTGCAGAGAAGCAGAGATCTCAGAAGGACGGGGCCGGTGTTGAGATGAGAGAGGTGGGGTTCACAAGCTCAGTCTCTAAAACGGGTCAAAAAGAGGTCCCTGTTGTTCTGTGCATTTTGGGATGACGGTGTGCTGGATTCTCCTGTCTTTGTCACCAAAATTTCTCAGGTTATATATTTCACAGCCAACCGTGACAGTAAGGAGAAGGCAAGTTGGAGAACCGATGGCAAGTCAGAGAAGAAGGAAAAAATGATCAGCAAATTGGAACTGAGGACAAACACAGGTTGAACGGTCTCCACCGTGCAGTACATCCCCCTGTTAAGAAAGGCTGCCGAGGTTGGGAGGTGGCCACGTTGGCTCAGAGACCTCCTCCCTTCATCATCTTCCTCATGCTTGCTCTGGAGAAATTGTAGAGAGCTACAGAATTTGGGAATGGGGAGAATATTCTACAACAGACAGAAGCTGAGGGTATCTCTTCATTGCAGAGTAGAGGAGGAATTTCCTTTATGCAGAAATTTTCTTTGAATAGTGTAAAAACTAGCAGGAAATTAGCAGGGCACTCGGGGAGAGAATTGAATGGAAGTGTGGTAAGAACCCCAGTTCTGCAAATTACTACCAGTTGGGTTCCGTTTCAGAGAATCTTTATCACCTGCTCATGGGCAGTCACTGACTCCGTAACAACCCTAGTGAAATGCTTACATCAGAGAATACGGGATGTCCCCAAAAGTCACCATGCATTGGAAACCAGGTATCTTGGAAATCATTCCACAAGAGTGGGACAGAATACATCGTGTGTGTGGAGAAAGAGGTGGCCAACAGGCAGAGATTATTTTGTAAATGTTTTGTACACTTTTGTAACAAATATTTTGTAAATAAAAGCACATTTAGTTATAATGTCCCATTTTCCCCCGGGTGTGGCATACTTTTGGGACACACTGTGTTTGCCAAATTATGTCAAAGGTACTAGTTAGTTATCACAAAGCAGAATTTGAATGCAGACACGATGGCTCATGCTTGTAATCCCAGCACTCTGGGAGGCTGAGGCGCTTCTGCTCAGGAGTTCAAGACCAGCCTGAGCAAGAACGGGACTCCTGTCTCTAAAAATAGCCAGGCATTGTGGAGGGACCTGTAGTGTTTGCTACTCAAAAGGCTGAGGCAAGAGAATTACTTGAACCCAAGAGTTTGAGGTTGCTGGGAGTTTGAGCTTCCTTCGTTTGAGCTATGCTGGGAGCACTCTACTGCAGGTGATAAAGTGACACTCTGTCTCAAAATAAATTATCCAAGCAGGGCACAGGAAAGAAGATGCAGAATCCTACAGAGAGCTGGGTGGGAGGGATCAGAAAGTTTCATAGCATCCTGCCAGCAATCACCATGCCTGGCGCATATTCCGTGCTCTGCAAATTGCTAAAAGACAAATTGGACCCCAAGTTTTATCTGTTAGGCATGGTCCTTCCTCCACTATTCTTTTTTTTTTTTTTTTTTTTTTGCATTCTTTTTTTGATGGTTTTGATATTTTTTAATTGCAGTTTTTATTTTGGCCGGAGCTGGGTTTAAACCGACCACCTCCGGCATATGGGGCCGGTGCCCTACCCCTTTGAGCCACAGGTGCTGCCCCTTCATTTTTCTTTTTTAAGACAATGCACAGTACTCAACCCTATTATGAAACTAATTGTTAACTATCACAGGAAAGCTATAATCCAAATGGAGTCCAAGAATATTGGGAAAGGGGTGAG